CGAAGAAGAAAGTAAAGGGAAGCCATGGGAGGTGTTTTTGAGTTTGGGGAAGAAGAAGGAGAATAGGGGGGGCGGATGCTTTAGGCATTTTTTAGGGTTTTCTTACTATTTTTTTTTTGTTTTTCTTTGTTTTATTTTTTGAAATGCAAGATAATAGGGTGTTGGGTTATGGACCGGGTTGACCCAGTTCGAAATGGACTGGGTCGTAGGGAAGATTGGGCCATTTTTTGGGCCTGTGGCTTGAAATTGAAGAAGAGGCCCAATTCCGACTTTCTTTATATTTTCGCTCTCTTTTCTTCTTTTATTTTTCTAAAACTAAATTATAAAAATACTTAAACTATTATTAAGAACTAAATTAAGTTATAAAAGCGCAAATTAACTCCCAATAACAATTAACGCACAATTAAGTATTAATTAAGCATAAAATTGTATATTTGGACATTAAATGCTAAAAATGCAAACGATGCTTATTTTTGTAATTTTTTTATTTTTTGTAAAACAAATTTAATTATTATCAATTATAGAATTAAATCCTACATGCAATTGTATTTTTTATTAATTTAGCAAATAAACACGCACAGACAACTACAAATAATTATTTAAAATATCACAAAATTGCACACCAAAGAAAAATCATTTTATTTTTTTTTTGAATTTTTGGGAGTAATTCTCATATAGGTCAAAAATCACGTGCTTACAATAATGTGTAAAAATTTATTTTCCCTTTGTTAATTTGTCCAAGTCAATCTTTTTTTTCCCAATCTTCTCATGTTTCATAAACCCCTACATATTTTCTGTCATTCACTTTAATATTCTTGCTCACCTTCTTTAGTTTCTCTAAGAAATTTAAGCTTGCAATATTTCTAAACTTCTATTGCTCTATAAAATCTTATCTAAAATTAACAATATCTCAAGAAAGATTACATAAGTTGGCTATTATCAATTGAAAAGGAATTATTAAGGAAAATCGACTATAAAAAGGATTATTAATACTTTATATCTCAAAAAGCTAGAAAAATAGACATTAAATAAAAATATATCGTATAACTTTCTTTTAAAAATTTAGGCCTCATATTAAATTTTGGTTTTAGGGTGAAAAGCTAAGTTCCATTTTTAACTTTGGCAAATTAACTTAGCTTGTTAATGCCTTAACAAACTAATTTACGCTTGCTCAATATTCCAAATTTTCCTGCTATCATAGTTCAAGATTACCTGTAAATAAACTAACAGAGAAACAAAAAGCGTAGATATTCCTTTGAAAATTCGATCCTTATATCTAATTAAGTTATGCAAAATAAAATCGCACATTGCTCTTTAAATTCCGTTTTGGATTTGTGATAATTAGCTAACTCATGAAGACGTGTCTTTTTTTGTTACTAAGTAGTACTCTCTTCGTTCACTTTTACTTGTTCACTTTGAACTTTTCACGTCCTTTAAGAAATAATAAATGAAGTACATAATTTATCATGATCCTCATATTAATTGATACATATTTTAATGAATTTTAGAAAATGATTTGAAATTAGTAATTAATATTGTGAGTATAATAAGAAAAAAAAAAGTGTTTTACTTGATAAGCTAAAAGTGACAACTAACAAGTAAAAGTGAAAATTCATATTTAGAATATTAGACAAGTAAAAATTGAACGGAGATAATTGCTAACGGAAGATATGCTGCTGGGTGTTAAGAAGGCACTAAGGTTTTTAAGCATTAATTAGAATATGTTCCAAAGGTCAAATTTAAATTAGCACTTCGGATGATCACGTGGCATGTTAAATTATGTACCTTTTGAAAGGGAAATATAACTACGTTAAAGAGACTATAGATGCTGTCAGCAAATCAAGGTTAATGGGTTGGTAAAATCGTCGTTTTCCCCATAAATCATTATAATAAGTGATAATTATTAAATAGGATATCTTTAGTGGTAGGCGCATGGCCATTATGCTGCCTTCGTTACGATTTTACTTTTCCTTTATTCACCGTGCTGCCGTAAAATTGTCTTGTTTCTTCGAATCGTGGAAGCAGTGTTTATATTAAAATAGACTATTTACTTTATATATATTTTATGATGCGATCATTTCTCAAATTTTATTTAAATACGAAATACTTAGTACATCGGCGTGCTTTCCAGTGTTACTTTTAAATTAAACTTTAAATCATTTAGCTACAGAGTTATGTATCCTAAGTTACGTAATGGATCTTTACTATCTTAATCATGGTGGCCGAATTCATGTTTATCCATTATTCCATTATATTACTAGCTTTAAAGAAAAGAAAATTGAGCTAGAAATTAACAGAGACTTTACAGTTACACCCTTTTATTTACACTTCCGATCCGAATTAATCATGGAACACATAATGCAGGGCATTTGTATCTATATTTAGTTTTGGGGTAATTATTGAATTTATATTCGTTTTGCACAAAAGATTGCAAGTCTCCATTTTTCGGATAGCATCAGACATACGGCTCTGAAGTAGCAAAAACTTATGCATGAAATTTGAACTTCAGAATTTTTTGCCTGAAGTGTGACTTACAAAGGCAATCGAAAAAACTTCAGTTCATAGTGTAAACTTCAGACCCGCTAAAGAACTTCTGACTTGGCTGAAGAACACAACCCAATTAAATAAAAGATCAAGAAAAAATTCATGCTTATAAATATAAAAACCACCAATGTAAGAGACTCTAGTCCAAGGCCACCAATAATCCCCCACTATGAAATTGGAGACAGTGAAATAAGATGCATCTAAGAAGTTAATCTCACCACGATAACTAAGCCAAACCATGTTATTGGTATCCGATCCTAGACCGTGTTGTTATATTCAGCATAATACAATGTACTTAACGCAAAACTCATACCCTAATGCTAAATCACTGTATATTTCATATTCAATCAATATTATTTACACAAAGTCTTATGTGTTTGAGAGAGAAGAAGAAGAAGAAGAAGGAAAGAAAGGAGGAAGAAAGAAGTGCACAGGTAGCCGGAAGAAGAGGAGGAGGGGACGGGTCCGAAGTTGTAAAAATTAGTGTATATGTTAAATAATATTAAAAATATGAATATAGGTTAAATAGGGGCATCCAAATAAGGTGTCTCGTACAATTTTTACCATAATACATCTTAACAATTTTATTAATTTATTTTCATTTTCATTTTGATCACTTTAATAGAAAGTGGGATTTTCTTTTCTTTTCTTTTCTCAATATAGCATCTATTTTTTTTCTTTTTCTCTTCTAGATATAGCATCTAATATCTTAGCAAAAGAATAATAGCCACATCGTTGTAAAGATCGAATTGTTTGCAATTGTCTATTTCTTTCGTCTTCCTTTAACCAAAATATTCTGCCTCACAAGTCATATATAAAGAATATGCTTCAACAAACTTTTGAAAACTTTCACAAACCATCCAAACTAACATTCCATGTCGCAACACTTTTTTGATCATGTCATAGATTTAGATTACTATACATGCACAATTGTAACAATTTTTTTTATAATATCAATATATTTTAATTTGTTATAACAGATTAATTATTTGTTTAAAATCTTCAAGTTATTACTTTCAATTATTATAAATGATCACCTGTAGTTAACTTTTAATGACCCGATAATCGAACAAAAATTCACACTGCAACAGAAAAAAGGCCACCATATATTTTTCTTAAAGGAAAAAAAGGTCAAATTAAACTGTTTTTTATGGGAAATCTTTAAATAATAGTAATAAATATCATAAGCAACTACTACTAGGAATTAAAATTTTCTTTTTCCTGATAATAAATAGACTACAAACATGATTTTACAACACTTACTACGTACCAAAGACAATATCCATTAATTAGACATTTGAACGAGGGAGAGTTTTTTCAGCTAGCAGTGATCTTTTTTGTTCATTCTGCTATTTGCTTTTTCGTCACCACTTTTGTTATAACTCTTTTCCTTCTTATCAATCTAAGACCAACCATAAACAAAAGCTGTGAGCTTTTTTTTTTCTTCTCCATGCATGGCTGCACTAATATTAATTTGCATGGAATCAAGTCGCTCTTCAAATTAAAGTCCCATCAAAATGTAGTAGACCAGTGTAATCGGCAAGGCAATCAACATCCCAAAAATGACACTGTAAATTTTATTTACAAACAAAAGAATTTTAAAAGAGTCAGTCGTTAATTAAATTACTTGAAAACACAAGGAAAATGTTGTTAGTAATTCTTACCCCGTGCTAAGAATGTCAGGGTGAACGTTGTATTCCTTGGCGAAGACAAAGGGGACAATTCCTTGGGGTAGAGCTGCCTGTTATGCATATTCATTTTATATATATTATTAGTAGAGAACACCACAAAAGTATAAACAAACATGTCATTATTGATTAAGACATCTATTCCCTTATGCAATTTCCAACCTTTAACAATTCAAGCATAAATAATACATGCAAAGTTGCAAATTCTGAAACATTAATTCTCTATTGAAATAATTATTGTGGCCGAAATCTTGGTACATTATCAATTGATAAGTAGGTCTCATCATCATGCATGTGGAGTATTTAATCTTTTTTTTAATGAAGAATAATGTTCTATAAGAATATAGAAATTTGTTGAAGGTATTCTATATCAAATGCAAGATTTGTCAGATCAGATGAAAAAGATGGTCAATGAAATGAAAAGGGCTAAGCTAAGAAAAATTTCACCAGACAAATTTAAGGCGAGTATAATTTAATGTTTTTGGCTTGAACTTTGTATACACGTTAAAAAAGATTAAAATGTATACGTATGGTAAAAACACACTTGTTCTAATGTGGAGAGTTTGAAATAAAATAAGTAACATAGCCATATATTATTATGCTTTTAATCATTAAACCAACATTTGTTATTGATAAGGAAAAAGAAAAACAAGAGCAAAGATTTGATGATGACCTGTACAATGGCTACGTGTAAGAGAACTCCACGAAGGCCAACAGCAATGGAAGCAGCTGCCATGACAGCTGGACCTGTAAGGAATCTCACAGCCATAGCAAAAGCTGCTGTAGAATTCCCACATGCTATTATCCTTGGTTGCAAAGCCATAAACAGACCTGTCGTCCATCAACAAAGTATATTATTTAGTGTACTATACATTTTAATACATGGAAAATATATAACTTTTGTACTTTCATTATATAACATATGCATATCAAATGGGAAAAAAGAATGAAAAAAGAGGCTTTTAAGTGCATGGCATCATCACTTCCACTAATATGGAGTGTTGTACTACTACTAGTAGTTATCATGATTGTAACCTTTGCGAAAAAGAAGGAAGAGTTTGAGAAATGAGAAAACATTGAGATGGGGTAAAGAAGTCCCCATTTAATTAAAGAAAAAAAAAGAGAGAAAGACATGTTATGATGACCATTATACTGTTGGCTCACTTTGCTTTTTAGCACGCTCCCCCTTCTAAACAGGTAGTAGTAATTTAATAACATAAAGTTACATTTGATCCTTTTTTTTTAATATCTTATTAGAGGGACATGTTTCTGGAAACTTATAAAGTTGTTGTCATGGTCTGATCATCAGTTCGATCCAATATAAGGTATAAAAAGGCAAGACTGCGTACGATAAACTTTTGGGGTCCGACATAACGATAGTTTAGTGCAAGGAGATGTGATTTGGTGCCCTTTACTTATTAGAGGGACATTATTAGACATAATGTGTTTGCAGCTTAAAGGAAATAATGTAACTAACCTAGACTGAACATTGCCATGCCAAGTCCTGCATCTGACAATATAGATATGGACTGTGCAATTATAGCAGGCATCTTCAAATTCCACCTACATTTTTTTTAAAATAAAAACAATCAGAATATATACCAACCCAAGAAAGAAAAAGGAATACTTCTAGCAATTAATGAATGCTCAATCTTTTTGATGAAACAGAAATTAGCAAACCTGAATGAAACTAGAGACCAAGTGAGACCAAACAAGCTTGAATAAGTGTTTGGATTTCTAATAAGTTTCCTCCAAACCATAATTAGTATAAGCCTAGTCATTACACTTGTTGGTGGCATAACCTTTGCTTTATTTTCTCCACCTTTTTCACCTTCTTGGTTGTGAATATTCATTTCTGCATCTCTATTTGCAAAGCTAAAGTCATCTCTCTCCATGTAGTTTTCTTGATTGTTTCTTTGCACCTCAACTATATAAATCCAATAATTCACAGTGTTAAAACAAACATCAGAAAAAAGGAACCAAGAAAATGTTAAAAGGCTAAGTAACAAAAGGAATTAATTAATTTACTTACCTTTTCCAGGAGAGATAGGTACTCTTACATCCTTAGCTGTATTCTGGTCTAAATTAGCTCCATAATCATGACCACCAAATACATCAGAAACAGGAGAAGCACTTGAACTCCAAACAAACATATGAAGATCTTTACCACCTTCCTCTCCTTTGTTACCTTTCTTGTTATTAGTGTTAGAACCCACTGCTTTTGCACCATTACTAGGTGAAAACATACCAGGATTTGGAGCTGGATAATGAGTAGTATTATTATTAGTATTACTTTGTTGTGCTGCAGCTCCATGGTTGTAATTAAATCTTGATTTTCCACTTTCTTCCTCATAATTTGAAGGTCTAGGAGTTGGTCCTCTTGAAGCTGACATCCCATAAACATCATTTGCACCAAAGTTTGAGTTTCTCCCACCAGCAACCATTGAGTAAAAATCAGTATGGTTAAAACTTGACCCTCTTGGAGTTGGATTTCTTGAAGATTGTAGAGAGTAAATCTCTGCATTTGTTAAATTTGATGGTCTTGGAGTTGTAGAAGAAAATCCCTGCGACCTTCTTGAAAATATATCAGACCTTGAGGCATTTGATTTTCTCACAGTAACATGAAGTTTTCCATCTTCTTTCACTTCAGCTTCAGTTTCCAAAACTTGTCTACCATCTAATGACATGACATCAGAATCAACATGGATTGAGACAATTGAGCCAGCAGTATCAGGAAATTGCTCAGAGATCAGCATCCTTGCACCTCTGAACTCAAACATAAAAAGCATCAAAGTGTACCAAATAATACACTGTAGTACAACTATTTGAACCATTAAACTCCCTGAAAAATCACCATACATTCCTTTTAACAAAGGAATACCCATAACTAAAGTATTTGGAAGAGTTGATAAAGAAAAGAGTGTTATACTCCATTCTAAACTACCCCTTTTGCTAAAATTAGCCCAAATAGCAAGAGCTCCAAGAACAATAAGTTTCTGAAGAGTGTCAGCAGCAATGAACCGTATGTTCATAGTGTAAGGATTATTAGCAGCTATAAAGTGGAAAGAGAGAAGTGGAACTGCGAAAAGTGCAACAAATCTGTTAATACCAGAACACTGGTCAGGTGAAAAAATCTTCCACCATTTAACAGAACCATAAGCTAATATCATAGCCACATAAAGTGGCACAACAGCAGTCATAACATGGTAGAAATCAGATAAAGTTATCATCTTTGGCTAGTTTCTTGAAATACCCAAATCAAGAAAACATACAAAGAACACAGAATAGTTTGGAAGTAGAAGAAAGTTGATGAATGGAAAGAGGGAAGAAGTAGGGTGTGATGTGTTGATTAATATAAGCAAAGTTATGGAGGAGCATGTGTTTTGGTTTATGGGGTTGTGGGGATTTTGCAGAAAGGAGCAATATTTTTTGGCATTAGAGAGATACAGAATACAGCTTTGAGAGTTGCGAGGAGAGCAAGCTTACACTTCTTGCAGTCTCCAAAGCAAATGGTATTTTTCTAATTATATTTGCCTATCCTTTGTTATTTTCCTCTTTGTTTTGAGCTGTGTTTGGATTTGAAAGAAATAGAGAGAGAAAATGGGGGTCTGATAAATTGGTGTAATCTAGTCTGGTTAGTTGGTATATTGGCTCTATCTTCAATGGTTCACAGAGCTGTATAGAGAAAAAGCATTTTGGTTAAGAGGTGGTGTCCCTTTTTAAGTACTTGTTTGCCGGAGCTTTTATTTTTAAGTCACAGCGGAGGTCGAGCCGTGTAAAGAGTCTCCTATAGAAATACAGTGTTAGACGGCATATAATAGACTCTTGTGGTCACGAGATTGAGCCGTGTAAACAGCCTCTTGTAGAAATACAAGGTTAAGTTGCGTATAATAGACCCTTGGGGTCACGGGATCGAGCCGTGTAAACAGTCTTTTGAAGAAATGCAGGGTTAAACTGCGTACAATAGACCCTTGTGGTTAGGGGTTCGAGCCGTGTGAAGAGCCTCCTGTAGAAATGCACTGTTAGGCTGCATACAATAAACTTTTGTGGTCACAGGTTCGAGTCGTATAAACAGTCTCTGATAGAAATGCAAGATTATGTTGCGTACGATAGACCCTTGTGGTCATGAGGTCTAGCCGTATATCTTTTAAAAAATGCAAGGTTAAACTGCGTACAATAGATCCTTGTGGTCCAACTCTTTCCCCGACCTTGCGTATAATGGGAACCTAGTGCACCGGATTTCCCATTTAAGTGGTGTCCCTTTTTAAGTACTTGTTTGCCGGACTTTTATTTTTAAGTCACTTTCTTCTTGTATTTGGCTTTTAGGCTCGTGGGCTGTTGATGGGCTACTGCTGTGTTTATTTTTATTCCCACTTTTTCTCATTCTGTAAATTAAAATAGTACAGTATTTCCTTTTGCCTTTTTGCACTTTTGCCCAGACAACCTTCTCATGCATGTGAAAATGATAGTATAAGGCAGTATTGCCCCCTCACTGTTCTTTATTAATGTAAAAATATCTTCTATTTATGTTCTGGAAATGGTGAATCTGAAAGAACTGATTGGGGTCTTGATGGGGCATTTTGACACGAAGGAACTAAGGAACAACAAGGCTATGGTGAAAATAAAGGTGCATTTTTTGTGGTGGGCCGGTTTGGTTTGTCTATTCCTAGTTTGATGTATTATAGCCATTATTCTCAAGGATGCGCTTCTATGATGAAAATGTTAATGTAGTAATTTTTATAGTTCTAGAAGAGATAACAACAACAATAAGATTAACAACAAAAATTCACTGAAATCTCACAAAGTGAAGTATGAGGGGTAGAATGTAGCATATCTTATTCCTACTTTACGAATGTAGAGAGCCTTTTTCCGATAGACCTCCAACTCAAGAGAAAAAAGAAACTAAAAAGGAAGAAGAAACAAGTAGTAAGCATAACAAATAAAGGTGATATAATAATGGAAGCGAAAGTTCTTGAAGAGATAATTAGCATATATTCTTTTTTTCCAACAATTCTGGAAGAGGAAACTCCTTCGGAGTAATTAATCTAATATAAAATCCTGCATAAAATAATATAGTATTTGCACGTAAGAAAAAATAATCGGTCGCATGACTAATGCAACATTTGGTTGATGGCATTAAATAATACCTATATTAAATTCTTGTAAAATTTATGAATTATTTTATGCGTGATGATTAACCGATTTAAAGACGAAAGTATCCTTTTAATGTTGTTCATGTATAAAATCTTTTTGTTATTAACTAATGCATAATAATTCCTCCATTATTAACCATCATATAAGTAATATCTGCAATATAATGTTAATTATGTGAACCAAACAACTCCTTATAATGTTATTTTACCTCAAACGAGATGTAGAAGCTGATTGGCGGCTATGAATTAGTAAATGTTATTCTTAGGGGGAAGATAATAGGAAGAGAGATATGTTAAAATAATGTCCTAGAAGTGATAAAATGCTACAGTCCACAGAAGCATGAGTTGAAATGAATGATGGAGGCCATAGGAGTGGGGAATGACGAATGAGAAAAGAGGGAGCAAAGATTGGCGTGTCAGGGCAAGGGTCACAACTCTCTTGGACTCCCAAACTACTTCCCCCAAAAAACATTATGTTTAATTTGCACAATTTGCTATAAATTGGTCATATGAGAAAAGGTTATAGTTCCTAAGGAGTACAAAAGGGCATGTATTTCTTTATCTCTATCTCATAGCGGTAGTATTCGAACCATATTGCACATGTTATCTTTCACTAATAACATTTTGTGTGATAGAAAGGTGTCATCGAAACTTAAAGGTAAGTTATACGGAGTGGTGGTTAGATCAATTATATTGTATAGAATAGAGTGTTGGCCAGTCAAAATTTTTTATGTACAGAAGATGAAATTAGCATAAATGAGGATGTTGAAATGGATATGTGGGCATATTAGGTTGGATAAGATTAGGAATGAAGATATTCGGGCGAAGGTGGGTGTGGCTCCCCTGAAAGATAAAATGCGGGAAATAAGGCTTAGATGGTTCTGGCACGTGCAGAGAAGAAGCCTAGATGCCCCAGTAAGGAGGTATAAACGATTGGCCTTGGCGGTTATGAGGAGAGGTAGAGGGTGAAAGTATTTGGGAGAGGTGATCAGGCGCGACTCCAGCTCACTGAGGTCATGACTCTTGATAGAAAAGTGTGAAGGTCGAACATTAGGGTTGTATGTTAGAAGGTAGTTGAACGTTTTCCTACTACGTACAGGGTATTAAACTAGTCTGTTAGTGTCTTGTTTTCGTATGAATTGTTAGGTGTTTGTCCAGATTTTCTTACCATATTTTCTTTTCCTATTTCATGAAGGAAATGACAACATATTTACCATAATTGGGGTTTTCTTTTCCTAGAAGAAAAATATAATTCTTCCATATTTGGCTAGTCCCTTTTCTTGTAGAAAAAAGGTTTGGAGTTCTATAAATTAAGGATCCGCCCTTTTCATCGAGTAGCATCCACAATGTGGCCATATGGGGTTTGAGAGTCGTATTTAGGGGAGAACTTTATGAACAAGTGTTAGTGTGTCACTTGTGTTTACCTCTTCGTGAGGTTGTTCTCTCGATATTTTGTACTCTCTTTTATATATAGTGGATTGCTCATTTCCGCCGTGGACGTAGGTCAATTGACCTAACCACGTTAAATGTTTGTGTCTCTTTTGGTAGATTTCTCTTTGTTGTGTGATTTATCGTCATTCAAGATTTGCATGACACTTGACTTTTTAGTCCTAACAAGTGGTATCAGAGCGATGTTCAAGACAGGATCATCTTGGCTGGTTTAGTTCTAGTCGCAACCTATTTGACAATAATCATGATTTTTGTCTGAGAAATTTGACCGGAGTGCTATACACGTTGAGACAAACTTTATGGCAGAGATTTGGAGATGCGACATGTTGAAGGCTATGTGAAGAAGGTGGATCAAGTTTATTTTGGTAGAAAATTCAGGCCAAGGGGGAGAATTATTAGGTATTTGTCCAGATTTTCTTACCATATTTTGTTTTTCCTTTTCATGAAGGAAAGGGCAACATATTTACCATAATTAGGGTTTTCTTTTCCTAGAAAGAAAATATAATTCTTCCATATTTGGCTAGTCCCTTTTCTTGTAGGAAAATGTTTGGAGTTCTATAAATTGAGGATCCGCCCTTCTTATCCAGTAGCATCCACAATGTGGTCATATGGGGTTTGAGAGTCGTGTTTAGGGGGAGAACTTTACGGGACAAGTGTTAGTGTGTCACTTGTGTTTACCTTTTCGTGAGGTTGTTCTCTCGATATTTTGTACTCTCTTTTATATATAGTGGATTGCTCATCTCAGCCGTGGACGAAGGTCAATTGACCGAACCACGTTAAATATTTGTGTTTCTTTTGGTAGATTTCTCTTTGTTGTGTGATTTATCGTCGTTTAAGATTTACTTTTCTTACTTCCGCATGATACTTGATTTTTTTAGTCCAAACAAGTGATACATATTGTGTTTTTATTATTTTTGCTCCGATTTCCTAGTACCTTGTTGTTACTGATTACACTCTACCTTTTCCAGATCCCACTTATGTAATTATATTGGATTGTTGTTATTGTTGTATCTTTCACTAATAGAAGTATCAATAATTTCTTTAATAGTAGCACTCTGGTTCGGTTTCATGTCAACTGAATTGGTATTGTTTTCGGCAAAATACATAGGTTACCCCCTGAACTATGGACCAAATCCCTCTTACACACTTTCTGAGCACGAAAATCATCTTACCCACTCAACCTTTTCAAAGTGTATCTGATACACACCTGTTTTGCTACGTGGCTTTTGCGTGCTTAACAAAAAAACATGAGCGCATAAAATTGTAAATATTTTGTCTAAATCCATATTTTTATGCCACGTGCCATATTAATAATATTTTCTTTATTTTTTGATTTTTATCAAATGAAAAAAGCTGCCAAACTTCTCTTTTGTCTGAGGTCCTTCCCAAACTACCAGTACACCCCCCTCCCTCCCCCTCTCCGGTCTTCCCTTCCCATCGTCTCTTTTACAGTATAATCAACCAAAACTCTGATAAATTTTTTAAAGAAGGTGCTGTAAATTTTCTTTAAGATTGCTCCTCTAAACTTCTCTCTTGCATCTTTTTTTATCATTAAAATCCACTAAAACATCCAATCCTTACCTTAAAAAAATGTATTTCATGAGAATGACTGAAATTCTAAAATTTCCAACTCAGCTTCATTCATATAAGGGAAGATTTGAGATTTTTATTCATAATGGAGTTGTTTAATTAATGAAAAGAAAAAACTTATTTTGATTTTGCTCTATTTGGTTGTGTATGAGATCTGAATATGGAGGAAGGAAATGGAGAACATAGGAGTTGCAATTTTAGTTTTTATCTCTTTCATTTTCAGTCTTGGGTTTGTTATGGATGAATCATTGTAAAATTAAATTTGTGTGAAGATTAAGAAGTGGTGGTTACAGCTTTTTTCCGGTGGGTTTGCAACGGCAGAGGGCAAACGAAGATGTAGGTGTTGGAGGATTTTTTAAATCGGGGGTATAAGAGTAATTTTAAATATTTTCTCTTAAAAATAATAACAATAATGACACATGTCATGATCTTATTGGTGCGTGACATTACACATATTTTTATAAACTGGTCAAGGAAAAAGAGGTGAGTATTAAAGACACTCTGAAAAGGTTGAGTGTGTAAGATAATTTTCGTGCTCAGAAAGTGTGTAAAAGAGAGTTGGTCCATAGTTCAGGGGCAAGCATTTTGCCTATTTTTCTCCCTATTGAAATTTGTACATTGCTCTCCAATAAGTTTTATCTCATTTTACTGACCGTTAGGCCGTGTTAGGTTACATTTTTAGTGCCATGCATTTCTATAGTTAATTAAGTAATCTTTTTTGTCTCTTTTTATCCTTTACCCTCACCCGGTCTCGCTGAGCTTAATTTGGTCTGCTTCGGTTCTATAAAGATTTGTTACTTCACACGAAATTGCGTGCTATTATTGAAAAAAAAACGAGTATTTAGACCAATCTTTTGAGGAGGAAATCATTGAATTTGCCAAACCTTTTGTCCTCTACCTCTAGTAGACCAGTCGATCTATTCTTTTATTTCCTCCTCTCATATTACTGATAAACTATGTGTACACGTACAAACAGACGTTCATTGAAACATATGCATATGTATATGGTTGCTACGTAGGAGTTCTGGTGCTGGATATGGTCAGAGGCGAAATTAGAATTTAAAGTTTATGGGTTCTAAATTTGTCTTAGTTACTGAGTTCGTAATTAAATATTTATATTTAATCAATTTTCAAGTATAAATATAATGTTTAAGTAAAAATAACTGGGTTGAGCCGAACCCGTACACTATACGGTAGCTCCGCCTCTGGATATGGTCGTAAAGAATTAATATGTTGCAAATTTATCAGTTAAGTGATGATTTTTGCGGAGAAGATCATTCATGTCCCCCACAAAATAAAAAAATAGTTATCTAAATCTTTTGTTATTAGCATAAAATGAACTTTAAACCCAAGCTAAGCAGTTTGGGAATAAGTAATGACTATTCTACTTATGGTCTGTGGCAATCAAATTAAAAACTTGAAATTACTAATGAAACTGGCAAATAAATGAACTGCAGTTCAATCTACATAAGATGAAACAACATCCAACTGAACCAAAGCCCAAAAAGGCGATCCGGAGACACATAAATTAGGGGCAAGTGCACAGATAGCCATTCTCACGGATGCTATTTAGGGATTAGCCATTACATTTTTTGTCCTAAAATTTTTAACTCTTAACATCAGTTTGTCCTGAAAAACTAAAATTCAGGATATAATGGTTGATTCCTAAAATAACAGCCCTTTAGAGTGACTAGCTGGTGCCGTTTCTGCTTAAATTAGCCATATTCTAATTGTTGGGCCTGTAAAGTTGCAACACTCAGAAAAGAAAAGAAGAACTCTTTAGTGATCTACTTAAGCACTGGAGCTGCCTATTTGAGCTTAAACAATGTAAAGTGAAATAGCCCTAGAAAAGAGGGGGTTATTCTGGCTGTAAAGCTGCATTTAAGAAGAAAAAGAAGGGCAGCCCAATGCACATGCGCGGGGTCCGGGGAAGGGCCAGACTACATGGGTTTATTGTACGCAGCCTTACCCTGTATTTCTGTAAGAGGTTGTTTCCACGGCTCGAACCCGTGACCTCTTGATCACATGGCAGCAACTTTACCAGTTACGCCAAGTATGCAAATATTAAACAGCATAATATACACACAACATAAACCAGAAGTATGCACTTCTCTGCAAACCTGTATATTGAATATTTCACATATGCAACTACAGCAATTCCTGTGAAATACAAGAAATATTGAAGAAAAAACAAACAAACAACATATTCAGTAAACTACAGACCTTGCACAAATTGGTACTGTGTGCAAAAGTTAATTAGTCGAACTTTGCCTATATAACAAACTCCAATTATCACATCCAGAGAGGATCAATTATGGGAGCACAAACCAGTTCATAGACTGCAGCCAACTGCAACCAAATATACATATACACGGCGTGTTCTATAAACCCCTGGAGCCAGGAAGGTTGATCCACTGAAGTTGAAGTTCGACCTCTCCACATTCCACATTTCTCAATCTTAGGCACATATCTTGCACAACCTGACCATCTTTCCATACAACGTTAGACTCTTCAGCCAGACAGTTGGATCTGCACGGTTGTATTCTTGTAATAATGGTGCCACCTGGGAGGCCAGTTAAGTTCATCTTGAGAGCCTCTAAAAATGGCTTGATGTCAAATTCTGCATCTCCCATTTTGTCATCCTTGCTGAACAAATCATGATCATAGACTGTCTGGAACCAAACATAGACGAGAAAATAAACAAGAAATATGAATACTGGACGGCGTATAAATTAGCACATGTTTAGGTGCATTTGACAGCACCTTGAAAGTGCCTAATGGGAAATGGTCATATGTTTCCGTTAAAAAGACAGGTTCTATCTTATATGATAACCAGCAAGCAAGAAACTTTACCAGCTTAACAGGAAGATTGGGATCTGCAACAGAAAGAGTTAAATCTTCATTCCATTCAGGATTAACATCCTTCTTTACAACTCGGGTCTTCAATTTCTGTGTTCAAGTTGAAAATAATGCAAGTCAAAAACTGCGGTGATAGTAATTGATAAAGTACACATAAAAGAAGAAGTTTTCACAATCTAATGCCACATTCCAAGTCTGCGACTTACTATGTCCAAAGCAGTTAATTTCATGAATCTACTAACAAAATAAAACAGTACCCATAGCATTGATTGAGAAGAAGAGCTAAGTATTGGAGTCCTTATGTTTTATTTGCTAGTACAATAATTGCCGCCATTTAGCACGATGTGTTGGGAAGCTCAGAGTACTAGTTAAGCCATGCATTATGGCAAAGAAAGCAGATATTTACAAGTCAGAGTATTAAAGACATTGTTATCTTCCGACTTTACTTTAAGAATATGATACCGGTACAAAAAATGCTGCTCTTTTGGAAACTCTGAGGAGTATTCTTCCCTTAGATTATTGTACCTCAACAAATCAAAAGATTTGGCAACGAGGTCACAGATATTTAGGTGCTTATCTATCTGGTTGCAGCAGCTTTGCAGCGCCTAGAAAATACATGGACAAGTCCCACAAAAATTCTCAAAAACTTGTCCTGAGTCATGCAATGGTACAAACAGCTGCGGCATTCAAGTTTTCTCCACACCAATCCACCAAAGTCAAGAACTATCAACTACTCGGCTACTCCTACCTTCGATAGTGCAAAAGAAGCAACAATGCGCAGCAGTTCTACCTATTAATGTACTCTTTATAACCTGGAAACCCCAAAAAGTCAAGCTCTTTGGACCTAGCAATCATCGGTGCTAAACTTCATAAATCTCGAAACTCCAAAATGGTTTAAAGCTACAGACCTAACACGTTGAATGCCATCAAAAGATATTCACAAATCTCAACAAGCCAAAAGATTAACCCTTGCAAACCTTACACATTCAATGTCTCTTTAGTATAGAAAAAACTTACTAAAATCATATTCCTTTATCTGTGACCCCTTTTCTTGAAAAGATGGATAGAGTTGTGAAAAACTAATAAACTTCAACGCCCTTTTCCAGCCCATTCTGGAAATCATGACTTTAAATGACATCTGAAACTTAGAAGCGCGATCAAACCCAAAAATAGTAACTTAAGGAGAAAATCAATTTGATTAATTAGATAACACCATCAGAAGACGAAAATGAAAACTTAAACCCTTTTTCTCTTATTAATTTAATTATGAACTGAGTAAAAAAAAAAATCTTTGGTTATCTTGTCAAGGCTATCCTGGTATATTGCAACATTAATAAATCCAATAAAACGGAACCCATAATAAGAAAAACAGGTAACGCTAAAACTATATGGAAAAAAAGTTTCAAAAAAGAATAACTTTTTACTGTAATACGACATAAAATTTTAGAAAGATCCTTCAGATGTCAAGTTAATTGAATAAATTCAAGAACAGAATTACAGGCAGAATAATCATTCATAGACTAAATAAGACTTTCCTTTTAAGCAAATCCTCCATGCAACCAATGATTTCATCGCCAATAAATCAAACATGAACACAGAAGAATAAAAGGAAGGAAAATCTAAGTAGTAACCGAAAACTCAATCGAAGACCAAACCAAACATAGGAAACAGTTGAAAAATTAAGAGGAACATAATTATGGGGGAGGAACGGACCTGTTTACCCATCTTGACAACAACGTAAGGATCACTGCTGCGAACATCACGAACGGCGAGATTCACACCTTTCTTGACTCTTATTCTCAGAAGACCCAAAAGGTTGTCCATTTTCAGACCTTTTCTGCCGATGCTTTTAGTAATTGACGGTTTTAATTAAGCCACTCTCCTCTTCCTTTATATGCTAAAACCCCTTTACCATCCTTTCTAATTCTTTCTCCTTTTTTTTTTTTAAGCCCTACGGTTCTTAATTAACGTTACTAAAATAATAACTCAACTGCTTTCTATTTGGCTTGACATTTCACCCTCCCCACCAAGTCAAACAAACTCTTTCCTGTCCAATCGTAGGCAATAGTTTTTTTTTTTTTTGAATACGAGATATTCTATACTATCTCCCCGCTCCACAATAAGTAATTTTTTTGTTTCTCGCACACCCGTTAATAAAATACAAACTCCTAAAAAACAAATAAGTATTTTGATTAAATTACCCATAATTAAAATTTTCTATATTGTTAACTTGACACATTGAGATATATAAATAGGGGCAAATTTCAAAAAGGAATTTTTACATTCCTATGCCATATAGGAAACTATATTAACCTCAATGTTTAAAGTTTGATATAATTACATTTAGTATACCTAATTACCAATTCTATACCATAAAGTGTTTTAACTGTACATTAATTGTACCTTATATCACTCCTAAATTTATGGTACCGTATATTCCTCCAAATTCCTCCCTCCCCCCCACACGTTTCTCTCTCCCAACCTNTGAAACCATCTACCATTAACGTCCAAAATCAAGGTTTTTTCTTCTACAACCAGTCAAAATTGAAGTCAAATCTTCAAAGTTCATACACAGAAATAACTTTTGATGGTTATGATTTCGGGTTCCTTCAGTAATATAAGAGGGAAGGAAAAGAGAGCAGCAATTCCACCATTGACAGCCATTAAAAAGCTTTGAAGCTTTGAATTCAAATTTGGGTTTTCAAAAATTATTATTTGTTTGGATTGGTGTTGTTGCAAATAATTGGGAATATAGTTTGGAGTTTATATCTCAATTTTGAGGGGTTTTGGTGAAGATTAGACTTGGTTTTGGCTGAATTTCAGATTGAAACTCAAAGAAGAAGAAGAAGAAGACATGACATACATTATATTGCAGCAATTGCAAATAAATTGTTGAAAAATTGTAGACTGTTGTTTATTTATTTTTGAGCTTTTATGTTAAAAATTTTGATGGGAGCTTGTTATTCCACTTTGTCTGTTTTGGAGCTAACTTGTGCATAAGAGAAGATGTTTTTTAAGTTATATATATTGCTATACCTTTAAATTCAAGAAAGTATAGTTGTA